TTTAAATTCTTTTAAATATTTAAAATAAGTCAAGGAACTTACAAATTGGCAGAATATGATTGTATCTCTCCTCCGATTACTGTAAAAATGAATTCTTATATATGCAAATATTATAGAAGGCATTGGAGTTTGTGTCTTTCATATAAGTCTTAATTGGAAACCATATATATGCTTTCATAAACATCAACTGAATTCATCTTACATATTTCTTCAAGGCTTCAATTTCCTCTTAGTAATTATACTTAGTTATAGATTTATTAAGTTTCACTAGAGCAAGAGTTCTTGAAGAACTCATATCTGTTATACATACAAGCTGGATTTTTTTGTCAGGCTCTCACTGTGTAGCTCCATCTGGCCTGATACTCAGTATGTAAAGCAGACTCACAGAGATCTGCCAACCTTGACCTCCTAAGTACCATACTTGTCATGCTGTATTTCTCTTTTGTGTTCTTAGGATTTAGTCCATTTTAATGTTATTCTCCAATCAATTTAGGCATTGTGCTACTTGAATGAAATTAATTGTTTCTTTCATTTTGACTTAGATATTTTTAGATTTCTATTTTGTTTGTATAATATTACTTTTGCCTCTTTATTGGATATAAATATACTTCTACTACATTATTTGATACTATATGTAATGACATCTCTCATAAATCTGATAGTTAAGTACACGCCAACACATACACTGTAATTTTGTTAATATGCAAAATACTTACTAACCAAAATTAACTCCTTCATAGATGTGAGGTTAGCCAGATTTGTTGGCTTCATAAGCTAATAACCAAAAAGATGGAAACAAATTACTTCATGGCTACTTTGATTGAGATGAAAAATGAAAATTGTAGAACTATGCTGAGAAAAATCACTCCTGCTCCTCAGTTGTTTCTATTTCTAGTGGCATTTTCTAACAAGTTGGGAAAATGTTCAAAATAAACTTCAACTTTGAACCTGCTGAATTCCAAATGGATGCCAATAAAGCCCCAAGCTAAACAGTTTTTAGTTTTTTCCAAAAGAACTTTTAGAAAATCCAGATTCTAGAATTAGGCAGTTTCTGTTCACATGTAAACAAGTCTCCTTAATATAACTAGGGTATGATCCTATTAATAGCCATATTAGATTACAATGATATGTAGACAATTATGGAAATATGAGAATTTTAAAATTATAGTGTAATATTACAAAGTAATTTAAATTATTTTGGTTCAAAAATGCTTTATTACAGAGATTGCTTTTAAAAATAATCCCTCTTGCTTGGCATGGTTGTATACCACTTTAATTCCCGCACTCAAAAGACACAGGCAGACAGAACTTTCTTTGTGAGTTCAAGGCCAGTCTGGTTTACTTAGGGAGTTTCAGGCCAGTCAGTCTCACATAGCGATACACTGCCTCAAAAATTAATCATTCTTAATACTTTTGAGTGTTCACATAGGCTTTTTGCCTTTACTTTATAAAAATCCTTGACAATGATATAGACGACTATTAAGCATACTGAAGGATCATGACAGCAAGATCAACAGAAGCTTCTCACAAATAATCACAAATCACAAAATTAACATTTTTGAAATTCTATAAATTTTAATGCTTTAAATTTCATTTAAAGATGCAAAACAATGACAAGTATTTTATGATTTCATTATACTTCCAACATTCATTTGCACCTGGAAAGATGTATGTGCAACATACTTATATACATTCTGCTTTGTTTAGCAATGGATTGATCCATTACTAGCATTCTATGTATAGGAAGAGTTCAAGTTCATTTCTGACCCCAGACAGCCTCTTGTTCCTTCCTTGATGTGGTCTATGATCACTCTTTGTTTTGAATCTATCCATTCTGACCAGACTAATTGTCTATCAATACTTTGAAACAGCCAAATCATTCTTGCCTCAGAGCCACCGACAAAGCCATCAGATGGGGGCGAACCTGTCTCCAGGCAGGCATGGAAGCCTCCCTCCTTCATCATGTCCTGCTTCAGTGCCTCCTCAGAGACATTCTATGACTGTCACAGTCTTCTAATACTTCTCTTACTTGCTTCATTTTTCTTTGTAGCTCTTATTAGCACTGGTCCTGCATACCTTGTTGGTTAGGTTTCTACTTATAAGCTCCAGCAGGACAGGGACTGTTGTATCCTTGGTTTTTAAACCAAAATCATACTTTAAAAGGCTTCCTGTCTTCCTCATGCTAAAATCTCCAGCAAAGTGAAACATCTGTTTCCATGTTTGTGCCCCTCGTTGACCCCATTTTAAGGATATAAGCTGCCAAAATGAAGTTTTTTTTCTTACTTCCAGACATGCTTAATAGTAACCTAAATGTGACAGATATACCCCTCTCAACTTCCCTTTTGAATGTACCACTTTAAATTATGAGCTTAACAGAGAAACACATTAGTCTGGTATATACCTTAAAGCTAAATTCTATAAAATTCCACTAACAATGTTACTAAATTCACAGAAATGTTCTTCTGTCATCCAGGGTCTTACGATGATACACCAACCACTTGTGCTGCCAGCTGTCAAAACTTCGGATGGCCCAACTTTCAGGTATTGCATATATTTCAACAAGATACTTAAAGTAAAATGATGAATTTCCAACAAAGTCAAAGCTACTAAGAACACAAAAGCAATAGGGAGAAAAAAATATCACAGAATAGTACATAGCTAACTTCCAAATAAAAGGAAACCTTGAAAGGCAACCCAACAAATTAGGAATAAAGATAGTATCATGGACACCTGTCAAACTTCCAAAATCATGTTCTTGGAACATTAGGGAGTGATATTAGGTAATATTTTTGTTCTTTTGGACAGATAATTATGAGTGTTTAGTTAATTTGAATATGCTGTATCAGATATTTTTGTTCTAATAATTTAATAATATAAGCCATAGAAATAATGTATATGTACATTACATTAATCCAATGAAAGAAACAAATTTAAATGCTATACCATGGCTATGCTATTCAAACATCTTTTCTATGCAGCATTCTTTGTTTTCTGATTCACACAATCACTGATATATTTCTGTAATTGGGATGGGGTCAACTTTTCCATATTTGAAGAATGGAGGATAGCTTATTTATAAATAAGGAAACAGGAAAATAGGATAGGAAAAGTTTCAGCATTTTGAAGTGCTGTAGATATGATTTTCAGAACTCTCATGCAAAGACTTTGACTTTCAATTCTGTTAAAAAAAATACAGGCTTCATGGGTGGTGATGCTTTCAAAAAAACTACTGTGCACACTGATGAATCTTCTTATATCACCATTATATTACCATAACAAATAAAATACTAATTATCCATCTATTACTAAGCCAGATAGTCCCAACTCTACAATAGTAGATATCCTTACCCCAACTTAATTTTAGTCTGAAAAGAACGCATTTCCCAATAAACCATCTAGTAACCTATGTTATCTTAAATTCAAACCTGGATGAGATAATTTCTTCCTTTGTATTTAGCATGATTTTTTAAAAATTCCCAAGTTATGCTCCTAGACCCCCAAAATAGACTGCCTGTCATTGTTCTTTGTCCCACAGCCTGTCTTTGGGAACTCATCATTGTTCTCTCTTTTCATGTGTTGGCTTCCTCTGCATATTACAATGTACATGACTCACTGTTCCTCACAGCAAGGCTTGAATGCTCTAAATGCCTACATATATCTGACAGCTGCCTTTTTCTTCCTGAACTTTTCTATGTGATGTGGTGCCAAATCAGTTCTTACAAGGCTCCAACTTTGCTTCATAAAGATATGGAGGGAAAAGTATATAAAAAAGAAAATATATGCTAGGCACAGGCTGGACCAACACTACACTCCTGCCTCTGCTTCAATTCGTGACTGTCTCTCAGTGTTGCATGTCTATCAGTTTTTCTTAGCTTCCAGAAAGCTCTCCTTATACTGCCATCTTCATATCTTCCCAAGATTATCCAACTTCCTATTCCATGTCATTGGTCATAGATGCCATGTTGCATTAATATATAGAATATATAGAGTCCTCCTACAAAATTAAAAATGTACTGTTTGTGTTTCTTTATGTTTTTAAAGACACATGAAAATACATTTGCATTTCTGTGTTTCTGGTCAAATGAGCAAATGTCTGCTTTAAACACATGAGAAATGTCTAGAATCCATGAAGAAGCAAATGGTGTCTTTATAAGAAAGCAAAAATCATTTACTGTATTTTTACAGGAAGTTCTTGCTGTGGCTAAATGCTCTTTACTTTCTTGGACTATTATAGATATCTCACAAAGGAAAACCAAATATAAATATTTGAAGCTTTTAATGTGTTGGATCTAAAACCTTCCTGCCAATGAGAAACACACCTTGGATTTAAAGGAAAGTAAAACTATGTATTCAGTCAGCCTGCAGATGGACCTGTCAGACTTTATTTTCTGATTCACATTCGTAATGGTCACTTGGAAAATCTGTTTCTTTCCAATCAGAACATTTAACATTTTTGTTCTATTATCTGGTCTTCTAGCTTTGCTGATTAAATTCATCTTTGAAAAGTATCCATTGTACCATAGGATTAATCATTTATTTATTTTAAAGTTTTATCGGTATGGTACGATGTGAATTGTAATTTCCATATTCTGCATTGGTTCTCTCCTGCTTGGATGCCTAAGCACAGAGATTCCAGAAGTCCTACATTCAAATCATCCAAAATCATCTAATATATGAGTTTTATAGCCTCTTAGAACTGAAAAGACCATTCGAGGATTTTTAGCTATCCAAACCTCCTCATTTTAAAGATAATAAATACAATTAAGAATATTCAAAATAATCAAAATTATAACATATAAAGAAACTTAGTATCAAATTCTTTTTAATACACCCATTTTGACTATTCCATAAAATGTTCCCAACTCCCTGATCATGTTTCTAAGAAATCAGTCTATGGACAATAGACTGATTTTCAACTTGAATCTCAATGAAGTAATCATTTTCAACTTGAATGAAGTTTCATTTTCAACTTGAATCTCAATGAAGTAATCTCTTATATTGTTAGATGTTGGACATGTTTTGTCTTTCAAAGCACCCAAAGAAAACTGCCAATGCTGTTAAGGTTGGACTTCTGGAAATGACTTCATTTCTGAGGCCTGTATTCACTCCATTGTTCATCAAATTTACCAAGAAATTTTCCAATTTGGAACACATAACCTGCTGCTTTATCTTAAATTTCAGCATACTTGATGCTATGTAGTGTAACTCCACAGTAAGATTGATAGTTGTATTGAAATACTTTACTCACAGATGTCTTTATGACATTTTCTAACCATTTGTCATGATTGCACACTTTGTGAACATTCTGTATATAGCAGAGGTCTCTCAATTTCCAATTTATTGTGTTTCTTTCTAAAGTGATTGTATTTATTTAACATCAGGGACTTAAATAGCTGACTCAACACCATGTTTTTATGTTAGATGCATATTAGAGAATAGAATCCATTGCACAGATGTTACTTCATTTGTTAGCAGAGACATCAGCTGGCTTCACATTCACAAAACACATAAAAATGGACCAAGGACCTTGCTTATTGGATGTAATTATTTTATTCTTTGTGTTTCACTTTTAACTACTGTGTGTGTATGTGTGTGTGTGTGTGTGTGTGTGTGTGTGTGTGTGTTGCTAGGAATTGAATACAGGGCCTTATTCATGCAAGGCAAAAATTCTTTCCATTGAACTACATTGCTAGCTACTTTCAATTTACTGTTTTTAAGGTACCAGAATTCATATATGAATATATTTTATAATATTGCTTTCAATTGAAATCTCAGTATTAAAGAATACCTGAACTGTGAATGTAATTAGCTATGCATCCTTTATAACACTTCCTTCTATTTTTGATGTTTGGATAATAGAAATTTTTAATGCTACTTATTGCATTCCTGACATTTAGTGCTTTTTTTCATATTACTACAATGAAACAAGGATGGATGCTTCAACATCCTGCCTTTTGCCCACTTCCTATGACTCTTCCCTCAGCATCTATATTTTTATGTGAAGGAGCTTTGGATTTTGCTGAAGAAGGAAAAGGGAAATTAGTTTTTTGGTGATGTCTTCATATATTTATGTGACAATAAGGGAATAAAGTTTCAAAGGATGACATGGCATCATTCCTTTACTGGGCATTTGAAATGATGTGGAGCTTCTCAGGAGCTGAAGATAAGATCTTTTATGAGATAATTAGTAAAATTATTGATAGAATTTTGTTGACTTCTGCCAACATAAGAAAGGGTAAAGTTAAGAATGATTTTCAGCTAATTCTGCACAAAACACAGTAGGACTTGGACATGCCAAGATTTGATGGCTTAGTAATCATTGGAGAGACTGTTAGGGTAAAGTGGAATCTAGTGTCAAGAGTGAGGTCATTTCAGTTGATCCTTAGGACAGAAAATAAAGACGAATTTGGTAGGATACAATAGAAAGAATGATGTGTAGTGATCTTAGGATAAGACAGAAGGAACAGAGTGCAACAATCTTTTGAGGGGGCTGTCAGATGGACCCCCCCTTTGAGACTCAGAAAGCAATGAGAACTTTGCAGCCTGCTGAAGAGCTTGTGTTCCTTGAAATCAGGAGTATACGGACTATTGATAACATGACATGAGATCAGAGGCTACAGAAGAAAACCAAGGTTTCTGTAACAAAAATAACTATATAGAGTTCACATACATAAAATTAAGATAAACAAATTGTATAGATTTAAGAGTAGTTTCCAGCATTGCACTTATAAAAACAGTAAGTGGGCTATAGGATTACATGGCTGACAGTTTCCTTGGCAATATAAAGTATGTATATGTGATGTTTACTAATAAATCTATTTTTATATGGAGAAAAAAATGAATATAGCTACTTCCATATGGGTGGTCTTGTTGCTAATCCACGTAATTTCTAAGAATTAATCTATTCTAGCATAGATAGCTCTAAGTAGGCAGCACAACATGCAGATTCTTGTAAGTCAGCCACAAAACAATAAACTCCAATCACAAGTACCCCTTCTGTATTTAGAGGAAATTCCTAAACCGCTTGAATCATTAGCTCAATCTTCAAAATCCATGTAAAAGATCAATATTCACATATGTTCAGTCTACTTAAAAATTAAATATGAATTATTATTGTCTTGCTTAAATAATGCAAGACAAGACATGAGGTGCTTACTATCCATTTTTTGTTCTAAAAACCAGGCTTCCCTTATACTTTGCCTTCTATACTGTCTATGCACATTCAAAATGCTTCTGTTTCTTCTCACTCACTGTTATTCAAAAATAGATCTCCTGAAATGTAACTCCCTATTATCTCCCAATGATTTTAGACTCTTAATTGTTTAAAGCCCAAATGACTTATTTTCCTCCTGGCAGTACTTGACAGGAATTCATAACCCATTTCAATGTCTTCTTTATGGACTGTCTTTTTCTGCATGCCCTGAGATTTACTATAGCTGTGGGCAAAAACATAAAACTTGGCAAAAGCATATTTTCTACAGCGATCTTTACCTCTAAGTCAGATCCTCTCAATTTGTCTATTTCTTTTATTTTGAAAAATA